TTAACAGTGAGAGAAAAGAGGCATTTTGGCAAATACTCTTAATTTGTTGGTCGTCTTTATGATGAAATACAGTGTCTTTGGCACTGGTGGGTGATTTTTTTTGATTTGGCATGAATATTTAATATTTTTAAGTGTGACTTACTTGTGAATGCACCATTGTGCCATGTTCCTGAATCTGGTTTTCAAATCTGGCTGAGCCTTTCGTTGCAGTAGGTGAATATTCAAAGAAAAAAATGTCATAGCATTACACCAGAAAAATAACCGGTTAAATAATAGTGGATACACTTAAAGAGTGACTATATTGTGTGAAAATTCCATAGAAACAAAAAGTATGTTATATCCATCTTTAAAATCCATCTGAAAGCAAACGACTTATTCGAAAATAGCAAATGCACAATTTCTTTGCTCAGTGACTTTAGAGGAATGGCTTAACTTCCCCGGACCTTTGCTCCCATCTGTAATTGAGAAGGTTTGTAGATATCACCAAAAGGTCTCAGGTTCAACACATTGTAACAATAATGGCTCTTTTTCTCTTTGAAAGATGGGGAATCTGTTTGCTCAACCTGCCTTTTTGTATATCCTAGTGTGGTGATGCTCTGCTTTTGTGAATTGTGTCTGCATGACATCACTTCTATCAAATAGTTCTTGTGGCACAGGAGAGTGTGGCTCCTCCTCTCCATGTGAAATCAGTGAGGCCTCTGAAATTATTTAAGGCAGTCCTTAATGGAATGTTTTAAGCAATGAAATAAACAAGTCTCTCATTTTGTTCCTGCTTGTGTGATAATGCACTTCCCTTCAACATTCTACAGCTCTTGCTTCAGTTTCTCCTCATCCTTTTCCTGCCATTCTGTTATTGAAAGAGTTTGGGTTGATCTGCAAAATAAAGGCATCACCCACACATGATTTATGGTAGCCAAAAAAACAATACATGAATGTAAGCCCAAATCTGACCCTTCCTACCTTCCTTGCCTGGAACTCTAGCTAAACTGCATACATTATTTTAAAATGCAAATTAAATCTGCCTCTGCAGAAAAAATTGTGGGAGGCAATAATTATAGCAATCTCAGTTGTTGAAGGTCTAGAAGATGGAATAAAATATTAAAGATTTTCCATGGTAATAGAGAGGCTCGACCGAAACAGGATAACAAAGATCACAAACACAGGTATGACCTGCCTTGAGAAAGACAAAATCTAAACTACCAAAGTAGTAATAATAGTAACTAATGTTTATTGCACACTCATATCAGAGGAGGGTTACTTAAGCTGCCAGAAGAATCTTTGTGTTCCAGAAGGGCACGCTACAAGCCTTCCAACTGAAGTAAAACATTTGGTAAGAGTTCAGAATCAATAAGCCTAAAACTCAGGTTAAAAACCACTGTTTTTTTCCTTGCAGGTCAAGACTTTCTGAAACTATAAAGTAAATCAGTAGGAAATTACGCTTTGATATGCATATGGAAAGTTTTCAAGAACCATATATTGCCTATCAGGAGGTATACCTGTGGGGGTATTGTCAACAAATGAGAAATAAATAAAAACTGTTTATAAGTTAAGACCATTTTAGCTGGCTAGAGTCCTCACAGGGAAAAGAATCACTCTTTTTAATGCAGAAGTTAATCGTTGATGTAGATGTGAATGAGTCATCCAGAGCAAGCTTTTAAATAAAGGTTTACACTTTCTTTAAAGGAGGCTGGAGGTTGTTCTTGAATGTGTCTCACTTATCGAATGGAGACCAGGGTATGGGGTGATGCACATATGGCCTGCGTTTATTAAGCACCAGCATGCGTCCAACCACCGCGCAGGTATCAACCTCAACTTTATAAAGTATGTTCTGTTACTACCTTGATTTTAAAGTGAGGAAACCGATGCCTCAAGAAATTGTGAGTAACTCGACGAGGCTTCACAGCTAGTGACTGTCAGAGTTGGGATGGCCTTATGGTGCTCTTTTCCACCACAGTGTCCTGTGAGGTGGTCTTCTCTCAGCCCTTACTCATCTAAGTGACCTTAGGCAGGTTACCTAATTCTCCAAACTCTGTCTCCCTCCTCCATGGGACATTAGACTGGCCGTACCTATCCTATAGGCTGTGAGGAGGGTAGAGCATAAGGAAGGGATAGGTAGAGCTCCTTGGGAACTGCAACATCATCCTGAAATATCCCCAGGGGTGCCCAGTTGATCCCATTGGGGTATCTGGCTGCATTCCAAAACCAAATAGCTCTGATTTGTGGCTTTGCTTTCCATGATCAGCATTCTTTTACCTTGTTAGTATCTGTACACATAAGTAACAATGGCAGCTGGTGGGAAAAATGTATTCCCACCAAAGGGTGCTTATCTCATGTTCTGTATGATATCATTTTAGTTAAAAATAGATATCACAATGTCTTTAATGCACATTCCTCTAGCATCCCTATACCGACCCCCGCCCCCCCCCCGCCCCAGCCTTCCAGACCTAACCAGCTGTCATTCAGCAGCTGGACTGAAAGCACTCCTCAACACAGTTATAAAGCTGGGCCCACCCAGGACCCATATTCCCCCCCACCCTCACTTTCCCTCACCTTTTCCTGGAAGAAATTATCTGACCTTTTAAAATGGTTTCATAAAGACTCTTTATTGCTCTCCAGATAGCTTTTTGCCTTGAACCTCTGTACTGGCCTTACCCTTCCAGGACTGCCACATCTCTGGACTTGAACCTGTGAAGCAGAGGTGGCCTCAGGTGTCACTACAGGAAAGAGGAAAAAAGGAAGAGATGGAGAAACAAGTTGGGGAGGTCAGGGGTGGGGGTGGGGGAGGGTTGGAATTTGTCCACATAGCTCCTCCAGAGGAAAAAAAAAGTCTTCCTAGAGGGAAGTTAGGGCTGATTTAAGTTTCAACAACAGGTAACCCCCCACCGTGATAGTCTAAACTGTAGCCAAGCTGGGACGGTAACACTACTGGGACGTGGGCGGTGGGAAGGGCGGTCGTTGAGAGGATTGCATTGCTTTATAGCAATTGCTGGCCCCCACCCCTCCTCCCTCTGTCCCCACATTCCCCTTTTGCCTCTTCCCTGTGCAGTCCTCATCCACCTGTGGCCTAAATTCCCTCTCAGGCTTCTGATTTACATGTGCATGAACAGCACCGTGATTTGTTCCCGAGAAGATCCCTGATGTTTACAGCAGCCGCTCGCAGAGGTACGTGGTGTGCAGAGCAGGCTGTTCCAGACAGATTGCGTGCGGGTTCGGGGCGCCGCGGAACGCTGCTTCCCTATTCCGGTTCCAATTTACAGTCTGAAGGTAAAAAGTACACTAATTAAATCCATATTAGGAGGAGCAGCGGGGGCGGGAGGAGGGGAGCGGGGGAGGCGGCCACCGGTCTGCTGTTGCCTAGCAACAACGCCAGCCGAAGCCTGCCCTCNAGCGGGGGAGGCGGCCACCGGTCTGCTGTTGCCTAGCAACAACGCCAGCCGAAGCCTGCCCTCTGAAAAAAAAAAAAAAAAAAAACAAAAAAAAAACAGGGGATACCACCGCAGGCAGCAGGACTGGGGGCGAGCAGGAGAATGTGCAGGCGGCTTAAAAACGTGGGAGCAGAAACCCAAAAAAAGACGCATGAAACCCTCTTTTCCACCCTGGGGGGCTAAGTAAGGCCCTTTTTATACTGATACTCGAGATCAACACCCCCAGGTTCCCTGCTCCCCACTTCTCATTAACCAGCAACTTTCCAACGAAGGCCCAATGACAAAGGAAAACAAGCTAGTGGCTGGCCAGAATTTCTTTCCAACAGAAGCAAAAAGCCTCAGATTCAGCCTTCAGTCCTAACGAGCCCTGCTCAGCAGGGAAGGCAAAGCCCCTGTGGTTAGCCCTAGCCTGCTAGCTGCGGAGGAGGCCTATGAAACGCAGGTAGCTTTTATCACAAGGAGAACAGTGCCCTCTGCTGGCAGCGTCCCCGCGAGTCGAATTCATCGAGCTTCTGGCACCCGCTCATAGAGCACCCACTACAAGTCTTAGTCTGTAGTGCCAGTGCTGGACAGGTATGGTGCGCATTCTTGCATTTTGGGCGAATAACGGTGTGGAAGGGACATAAAAGGGAGCAGGAAGGAGACAGAGGCAAAACGGAAGGATGGGTGCAGGAGGTGTGGCCGTCCTCTCCCCATCTGGTAAGGACAAGCAAAGGAGCCTCAACTCTGCGTGGAAAAACCCAGACAAAACCAAAGTGCGGTTTAACCGGACATCGATAGGCACTGCTCCTCCAGCCCATCCTGGGCTGGAAGTGCTTTGTCTGAAGTACACAATTTCCGTTGGCCTGATGACTGTTAAGTGTTTTCCTAAGAGGCTCACAGTGGGAGAATGCAGTGGGGACAGTATGGGCCAAGAGGCAGAAATAAGTAGATTCCATCCAGACTATTTCAAAGCGAGCTGCCCTGCTAGGCAGAGGATTTTGGAGCGGAGGCCCCGCCCACAGTGTTCAAAGGAGGGAAGCAAAGCATAATGTTAGAACCCACAACTGCCTCAGCAGGAGCCCCATATGTTTTTTATAAAAAGGCACAATGTTAGCATTGTTCTATGCTCAATAGCCCGACTGTTATAACTAATGCTTTGGTATGAATACGACCATTTAAAATTCCGAACCAGTTGCACTTAGTGACAATAGGCATCAGAAAACAAGTCCAGAAGCAGAGATTTCTCACTTTGGGGTCAGTTGGCTTTAAATACACATACACATGCCTTTTAATGTGCCCAACTTCCAAAAATACACTGAACATTTGCATGAACACTGTTCTTGGCCCTGGCGTTTGTAGCTGCAAATACTAAAGCACATTTTCCCATGTACACTTGAGAACTTAACGTGGATTCTGTGTACACAGGGCCGGTGCACAAATAAAGAGGATCGTGTGTCCTCTGTTTCATTCCACACCAGCATCTTCCTCCCCACTCCCAACCCCTGGGCACCCCCACCCCAGCCTCTCTAGCACACAAACCCAGCTGCCTCTCCGGGGTCTTTTGCCCCCACCCTCCATGCCTCACCTTCAGCTTGAGGTACAAACCAGCAAAGGAGACCTGGATCCGGCCAATCAGGCCTAGGCTTTTGTGGTAGTGACACAGTCACCAAACTGGGAAGGATTACTGGTGGCAAGTGAGTTGAGGGCCCTGCATTCCCTTGGTCCTGACTGGTTTCAAGCCTGTATTGCCAGTCTTCCTAGGGATTCCCAGACCAGACTGACGCCCTCCAACAAACCCCTCTTTTGCTCTACTCAGGCAAAGCTGGTGTCCAGAGTCTGTAAACAAGATCCCTCCAGGTGATACACACTTCTCACATCAATTATTATTATTAAAAGAAAGAAAGAAAAGACAAGTAAAAAGACCGTTTTGCAGCTGAAGTTTAAATGCTCTTCTGATTGGTCTTCTCTCCCTCCAACCAACCCAGACTGAGTCTCTCATCACAAAAAGGGGAAATACTGCAGTTTTTAAAATCCATAAATTAATTACCAAATAATCCACAAGACTTGGGTAAGGCCACAAGAAAACACTCAGAAGTATTCCGGGAAGACCCGGTCTGGGCGTTCCCCACCCCAAGGGAAAAGCACCGAGTAAACCAGCGTCACCCCCAGTTACGCGGAGGTGGAGCAGAGGAGACGCTCTCCCCACCCCCACGAGCTGTAATTAGATGAGGGGCGGAGGGAAGGGCGGTTCATCTGGAGGACGGGCCTCCGGGGGCAAGGTTGGCCTGGGAGGCGGGGGACGACGGCCAAGGTCGTTCCGGACGGCGTCCAGTTGGTCCTGCAGGAGCCGGACCCGCTCGTCTAGGCTGCGCTGCTGGGCCAGGACCGCCGCCTTGCCCGCCAGCAGGGCGCGATAGGCGCGCAGCTCCTCGGCGGGCAGGGCCTTCGCCAGCACCTCCCGCAGGGCCCGCTCGCGCCGCGCCACGTGCTCCTTCAGCTCCTTGGCGTCTTCCTGCTGCCGCTGTAGGAGCCCGAGTCGCTGCAGCAGAGAGGCCTGCAGCCACAGGGAAAGCGCGCCGTGAGCTGGGCGAGGGCGCCGTGGTTCCCGGCACGGTCCCAGACGGAGCCGGCAGGCCCCTCACCGCCCCCCGCTCCCCCCACCCCCGCCCGAACCCCCGTCACCTGCTCGTCTGGGTCGCCGTCTGTGCCCTCCCGGGCCAGGGCGCGGCGCACGCGGGCCAGGCGACTGCCCAGCAGCAGCAGCAGACCAAACACGCGCTCTAGGTCGGCCATGAACCTGCTGAACCGCTCCAGGTCGCGGGGCGCACAGGCCTGGCCCACCGCGGCCTCCAGAGCAGCCCCGCGCCTGGCCCAAGCCTCGGCCACCGCGTGCAGCTGCTCCTGCTCTGCCTGAAGGTCTCGCAGCGTCTTTTGGAGGAGGTCGGCTAGCTCCATCTGCAGGGAGAGCGTGGATACTTAAAGTGGACGCCAGGGGCGCCTGGGTGGCTTAGTCGGTTAAGTGTCCGACTTTCGCTTAGGTCATGATCTCGGGGTTCGTGGGTTCGAGCCCCGCGTCGGGCTCTGTGCTGACTGCCAGCTCGGAGCCTGGAACCTGTTTCAGAGTCTGTAACTCCCTCTCTCTCTGACCCTCCCCTGCTCACGCTGTCTCTCTCTCTCTCTCTCTCTCTCTCTCTCTCTCTCTCCTAGAAATAAATAAAACATTAAAAATTTAAAAAAAAATTGTTTAAAAAAAAATTTAAAAAGTGGACGCCAGGCCCTGACTTCTTAGCCCAAACTCTGGGCTCCTGCCCCATCCAATCTCTACCAGCCCGGCCACACTCACTTTCTTGGCTTGGATGCTGTTTGAATCAGGGAGACCCTGACCACAGGGCTGGTCAGGCACAGGCTGGGTGGTATGGTTTTCAGACCTCATCTCCTCCAGGGAAGTTGGCAGGAGCTGGCTGGAGCTAAATCGATAGCACCTGGGGACAAAACCAGAGCTCCCTGGGTTGTCCTCCCCCAGACTGCAGGGACTTAGAATGCCCCAAGTCCCTGGTACCCTGCACTCACCCTGGCTCAGGAGTACCAGCAGCCTCCTTTCCTGCCTCCTCACAGGCTGGCCTCATCGCAGCCCAGACCTCGGCTAAAGGAATCAGCCCATCTAGCAGGCCCAGGGGTGGCTCTGGGCTGGGACAGGAAGTGAGAGTGTCCCTCATAGAGGGATCCAGTCTGGCCAGCTCCTGAACCAGCTCCTCAAGGCGGGGGCTGGGCCACGTTGGCCTGGAATCAGGTGTGCCAGTGCCACAAGCTAGGGCCGTATGGCTAGGAGCACCCGGGGTGCTGTTGCCTGGAGGTCCCAGGGCATCAACTGGCAGAGGTTTGAGGGGGTCACTCTCTGTAGCTGCAAACGGGTCAACAGTCAGCAGTCCAGTGGGGTCAAAGATTGGAATGTCACCATTTTCAGTCTCAGGGGGGCTGCAGCATGGGGTCCTAGAGACACCCACAGAACCATTTATCTTCCGCCAGCAGTCATCTGCCTCTGCAGTCTCTGCGTGCTCCTGGAGGGGGTGTTCCGGGGGGACTGTAGCCTGGTCAGCCCTCTGGCCCAAGCTGGTCTCATACTGCTGGTCAGAGAAGTGGACACTGGAAGTGGAAGACACACTGAGTGAGGAAAAAGCTCCGTTCGAAGACAAGCAGTGTCTTGAATAGGCACCTGTCCCCGTCCCCACAAGCCAGGCTGCGGGGCTCCAGCTAGGAGAGGGTCCCCTGCCCCTCTAGCATTTTGTTGATATGCGTGCGAAAGAGGTGTCTCACTCAGCTTGGAAGTGAGAGACAACTCACCTTGTTGGGTTTCCTGTGGGGGCATGGGTGTCTGGAGGTGATCTCATTCTGACCTGGGGGACGTCTTCCAGGAAAACCTCATCATCAGGAAGGGATGGGAGCCGGGCAGACCCAATGCATGTGTCTGAGCCCCTCTGTTCACGGTCTGCAGGGCTGCTCTGGAGGCACTCTGCAGGACCCAACACTGCAGCTTCCTTCCGAGTCAGGAACCTGGAGGAAGGGATGCCACACTGACTACAGTGACCGGATAGGAAGCTCTTGGTGCCGCAGCAGAAGACACAGTGGGGGGTGGTGAGTACAGTAAGGGGTGGCGTTGGTAAAAGACAAAATCAGAAGGCTGAAACTGAGGGTAGGTGATGGGCCCTCTCCTTTCTTGGACAAGAGCTGTGAAAACTGCCTCCGATTTCCAGTTCCCTGGTGGTCCATTTCTCACCTGGAAAGTTTGGTCTGAAACAATGGTCTGGGGGTTTCTGCTCCTTGGGGAACAGCCTGGAAAGGCAAACACGTGCTTGAAATGTAGCTCAACTTTTTGGTCTCCCAGACGCCTCCCACCCCAAGCCTGCAGTCTCTATCTTCCACACCTGGACAATGGGCATGATCCCTCCTGAACCTCCCCAGAGAGCCAAGGCTTCGCCTGAAGCGCTCCGACTCCGACTGGAAGGCCTATGGGCGTCACCGAACTTCAGGGACCGGGGTTCTGGATCCTCTATGCCTCGAGGCTGGGTCTCAGGCAGCCATCTGGTCTGGTGGTCTTCCAACTCTGCCAGCACCGTACGCTCCTGGGGCTCGGGCCCGGACAAGGCCGAGCTGGAGCAGGCCTCACTCGAGCATTCCCCCGCGGATCCCCCTCCCCGACCCACGCGATCCAGCTTCCCTGGCTCAGAGAAGCACCACTTCCACTGCTGGGTGGCTAGGCGACCCCGGCCGACGGTTCCCCGCGCGGGAGCCCCGGGGCGCAGCGGCTCCACTTCCCCGCCAGGGTGGCTGAGCGACGCGGATCGCGGGTGTGCCGCGGGGGGCCGGGCGGGGGCCGCGGGCCGCAGGCGGGCGGGCAGGCTCATGCGGAGCTCCTTGCGCTGGAAGGACGTCTCCCGGAGCACTCGCCGTTGCGCGCCCTGCAGCCGCTGGCGGTAGGCGGCCCGCGAGGCCGGTGGGCTGGGCGGCTCGACGGCCCGCGCCGCCGCCTCCGCCTCGGCCGCCAGAGCAAACAGCAGCGGGGTGACCTGCCGGCTGAGCGGCGCCGGCGCCCCCTGGGCCTCCGGGAGCCGCGGCCCAGTGCGCGCGGCGGCCGCGGGCCGGGGCTGCGGGGACGCGCGAAGGCCGGAGGCGAGCGCGGCGGGGGCCGGGCCGCCCCACACCACGCGCACGTAGTCCCAGTCTAGGTACGGGAGGAGGTCGGTCCCAGGCGACGGCGTGCGCGGCTCGGGAGCGCCGGAGGCCGCGGAGAAAGAGCTGTAGGCCGAGTCGGCGCGCGCGGACAGCCGCCGCAGGTCCAGGCTGCGAGTGGACGAGGCTGGGGAGGCGCGGTCGTCCCCAGGCCCCAGGGCCTCCATGGCTGCACAGGGGAGTGCTTAGACCAGCTCCGTGGGTCCTGGAAGAACACAGACGGCGCGGTGGGGGAGGAGCCCGGACAAGGCTGGCCTCTCCGACAGGGACAGCCAGGTGCTTACACATCCCCTCTTTGGTCACACGATCTTTAGTGCTGCCATTTCCCGGGTCAGGGATGTCATGGGCGGTGGGGCCGGCCCCGGGAGTAACTCTGGAGTTTGAGGGCCTTAACTCTTCCCCCTTAGCTCGAGGGGACGGGGCGGGGATTGGCAACTGGCCCATTCCCTCCTGGGGCTCTCCTGGCTGGTAGCCCGCCTTTACCCGGACACCTCCTGGAGCGCTGAGAATGTACCCATACTCCTTCCCTCCCCAACCCAGTCCCACCCAGGCTACTTCCTGCCAGCTTTGTTAGCTTCTCCATGTGATCTTTCCCCGATAAACAATGGTCAAGAACGTTCTGAGATCACAGGGGAGCCAAGAAAGGAAGGGGGAAGACCTGGGTCAGGTGATAGGGGCAGCTTCACAGCCTCCCTTCCTCCCTCTGTGTCATTTATGTTCCAGGTGCTTTACATAAATATTTATCTTGATCCTCACAACTGCTATCTGCGTTTTACAGATGAGGACACTGGGGCTTTTAGGGGGAAATGATGTGCCCAGGAGCACACGGTTGGTAAGAAGCAGAGCCCTGCCTGGAATCTGGGCCTGCCTCCAAGCTTACCGCAGCCAGAATCAATTTCCTAGAAGCAAACCCTGCTGAAAACCAGTTTACCAATTCCCTTCCGCCCCCCACCACCCGCAACCACCTGAGTCCTCCGAACTCCAACAAAGCTCAAACTCCACTGTGGGAAACTGTCACCCTCACCTCCTCTCAAAATACAGGCAGATTCCAGAATAATATAGTCCGTGCTTTGGAGCCTCGCACCCCAAACGTTATCCTGCTGCTCCTCCTACTGGGCAAGACTTAAAGGTCTCCTGACCTTTTGAGACCCCTACAGTGTCCTGAGCTTCCCTCCACAACACAGCACTCATCCCCCTGCCATGTAATTGTTGGCTTACTTGTGATTCCGATTCCCTCTTCCCCTTCCAACCCGTGAGCTTCCGGAGGACAGGCCGTGCAATTAGTCATCTCTGTCCCCTCAGTGCCTGGCATGAGGTGGATGTTAAAGAAATAGCTGCTGAAGGGCAAGGAAAGGAGTAGACTTGCAGTGAGTGCACGGAGGGTGGCTTTGGTGGAGAAGGAAGAGGGTTCCTTTGCTTCTGCCCACTCTTCTCCCCCTAGTTGCCTTTTCTGGTGATGGGGACAGAATGAATGGGGGCAGCTGTCACCATGGACACTGTCCAGGTTACTCATGCATTATTAGGAACCAAAAGAGCAGGCAAGCACAGGTGGAGCAGGAGAGGCCAGAAATCAGTACCTCCCTAGGGCCAAGAGGGGGGAGGGGGGAGGAGGTGGATGGGTGTGCACTGAGTCTTGGGAAGCTGGGGCTCCTTAAAGGCTCTGAGGACTTTGGGGGAGGGGAAGGGCTTGCTTTCTCTGAGCTGGCTTGGTGAGGGGTACAGAGGACGGTGACCTGCAGCTGGAGTGGGATTGCAAAGCAGGCTCACCTGAGCCTCCTAAACCGGAACTCATGGTCACCCTCAACCCTTCCCCGAGGCCCCAGAAGCTACAGAGTGCAGGTCAGGGTGGTAGGGGAGGTTAGCAGTGAGGATGTGGTGTTTCCTAGAAGGGAGAGGCAGTACCTGCAACGTTCTCAGGAGGGGCTGTCAGCTGACCTGGGACCAACACATCTTCACATTGCCGACTTTGGAAGCATCTTTATGGCCACGAAGGCCAGCCTGGCAGGGTGGTCCTCACACTCAGGTTTGGGGACCTCTTTTGCAAGGGTTTCCACTCTCTGGACTTGAGGAAGACCAGAAGCTACTCTGAGTAGCTGCTCCTGGGAGGAGAGCCACCTCCTCTAGGAAACCCACCCGAGGCACCTGGACACTAGCCCTCTCTTCCTATTCTGAGCCCAGCTTTGGAGTCTTGTTTTCCCTGGCTCGTGCCACCCATGCCTGCCTACTGTTGGCTTCCTGCATCTATAGGCTCCAGTGACTCTTCAAATACAAAAAAGATTCCTCCAAAAAAGGAGGAATCTTATTTGTGAGTTGCTGTGTTCACAAAGGATTCTGAGGTCACCAAATAAAAACATCATGAGTGGATAAGTAAATAAAACTGTGTGCACATATGTTTGCTTTTTGCCCCACCTTGTCTTAAGGATGCTTTTTCTTTCACTGTTTATTTAGCTTTGAGGGAGAGAGAGAGAGAGTGAGTGGGGAGGGACAGAGAGACAGGGAGGGACAGAGAGACGGGGAGACACAGAATCCAAAGCAGGTTCCAGGCTCTGAGCTGCCAGCAGGAAGCCGGAGGTGGGACTTGAACCCACAAATTGTGAGCAAATGACCTGAGCCGAAGTCAGACGCTTAGCTTACCAGACTGAGCTGCCCAGGCGCCCCCTTGAGGATAACTTTTTTAACGGTGGCCTCAGCAGACTGATACCCATGCGGGATGCTCAGTGCTGTGCTAGAGGGTGCAGCTCCTGTTTTGGGATCTCAACAATCAAAGCAAGGAGTCTGCACCCTTGACTGGCTGCAGGAGCCTCTTGCTGTCCAGCCAGCCACTGTGGCTGGAGGCGGCCACATCCCTGGAGCCCTAACCCCTGGGTTAGTGTCAGCTGTGGGCGGGCCTGCAGAACCAGCCCTGCAGAGAACTGAAGTGCAAGGCCTAGAGCTCTCAAGGAGCTCTTCAGGCCTTGCGCCAAGCCTCGCCAGAGCAGGGGGAGCAGCTCATTGCTAGAAAACCGCCAGAGTGGGGTCCACACACAAGTACTCATCCGCTGAACGAAAGAGCAAGAGAGGAAAAGGAGACCAAGATGACCTGAGTGTTCAGAGCTGGAGGCCTGCGAGGCAGAGCTGCCGGTCTCAGGAAGGAAGAGGCTGAGATGGGGGCTGGTCCAGGGGTCCAGTGCTCCTTCAGGCTGGGGCCTGCCGGCTGTGCGGTGTCGGTGGCAAGTTTGGGAAGCTGGGAAGCTGGGATGTGGGTCTAGCCCTCAGCAGAGAGGTTGGACTAGGGAAGCAGGCCGACTCATGTTTTTAGCGAGACGTTGTTGGGGAAACAGATGAAGACAACTTTCTGGCCTCTCAAACCTCCCCAAGGCAACAGGAGCAGATCCAGGTAAGGTGACCAGAAAGGTAGACAACCTCAAATGACCAAGGATGATCAGGAATTAGAGCACACTCTGTCAAAGGCTCCCTCACATTTGACCTCTCTGTGGAGAGGTTATCCAGGCCGCCCTCTCAGGATGGCTCTTCCCTCGGTACTAGGGTCACTGTGGGGACACTGCCTGCACCGCAGTGTCCCCGCCACACTGAGCTTCTGGGTCCTGGGCCGCGTCTTGAATGCCAGCCCCCCAGATGTGGGGAAGTTGTGCGGCTCTCCCATCCCCTGCGGGCCTTTTCTCCAGGCTGGCCTGGCCCGACGGTGCCGCCCGCGCAGCCTTGGCTCTCGGTCGCTCTAGCCCACATGGAGATCCCAGAGACTCGAGCTCTGCGCCGCGCTGCGCGCAGAAAAGGCGGGATACCGGCTGCACCCGGGGAGAGGAGGCCGCGGTCGTGGGCGGGCCACATACCTGGGGCTTCAGGCTCTGTAGAGTCGCGGCGGGACAGAGGCGCAAGCCAGGCGACCGCAGGGGGCGGCAGAGTCACGCGGTGCGGCGCGATAACGGGACCCCGGGGATGCCGGGAGGGCCGATGGCCGCGGGCCGCACACTCGGGGCCTTTCCTGTTGAGTGCACCGTCGGGGAAGGAGGGCTCGGACCCGTGCGGGAGACTGATGGGGGCTTGGGCGAGGGGGGCCCGCATTCTCTCGCGGCTCGGCGGCCGCAAGGCGGGAGCCGGGGGTCGCGGGCAGAGGGCCTACTGCGTGCGCTGGCCGCACGGCGCGGTTCCCCGCAGCCCCAGCTGCTCGGGGTGTCTGCGTCCTCCCACCGCCGAAAGTACCCGCACGCAAGGGCCCGCCTCGACCCGCGCGGTCCAGACTAGGCACCGGGCGAACACTCCAGACCAACGACTCGCGGGTGCTCCGCGGCGCCCCCGCCCCACCCCCCAGCCCTTCCCGCCGCGGGGTGCGTCCTGCCCCCGCCGGGAAGGGGATCCCGCCCGCTGGCCACGCAGCATACCTGAACTGCAGCCCGAGACGCGCTCCTGGGCGCCGGCGGCCGCGCGGTGACATCAGAGCCCCAAGCTCCGGCTCCCGACCCCACCTCCCGGCTCCGGCCGCGCGGGGGAGGTGCCACGTCCGGCCACGGGGGGGCGGGAGCCCGGAGTGGCGGCGCTGCCCCCGCGACCGCCCGCGCCCCGCCCCCCACCCCGTGAGGTCCCCTCTCCGGCCTCAGCCCCGGGCCCGGGGGGTGGACACTGGTCCCCCCGCTGGACACAAGCCTCCTACTCCGGGCCGGAGAAGCGGGAGAGGGAGAGGAGGAAGGGCGACCGCTGCCCACTGCCGCCCGCCTCCAGCGCCGCCTGACCTGGCGGGTGTGTCTTCAGCGCCAGTGGTGCGCGCGCTGGGGTCCCTGGGGGTCCCGACAGCCCCCTCGGTGGGGAACCCCTGGACGGGCCCCAAAGACTCCAGACGGCCACAATTCCTTTCAAGCTTAGCTGAATAAACACATCGGCCCGGGGGTGGGGCTCTGCCTCGGTTCCTGTCCTGTGTGCAGTTCAGATGCTAACTTACTCCCGGACCAACTCCCCGCCTCCAGATCCTAGATTTCCAAAACTCCTCTAGCTCTTTGACTCCCACTGTGGGCTCTTATCTCCCAATTTTGCACCGCTTTTCTCCATTTCTCCTACTACCCGCATTAATCTAGGCCTTTCTGGCCAGCCACCTGAACCACAGCGGGTGCATTGTGTATTCACTTCTGCTGCCTTCAGTGGGTCCCTTAGGAGCTGCACTATAGCTTGGATACAGGTCATTCCAGTCTTCGTTGTCAAGGTTGTCAAGGTCTTTGCCTTTGGGGATCTCCAGACTTCAAAGAATGCTCTAAATTCATCTGTTACTGTGCTTTCCTTCCTTTGCCTACTTCCCAAACCTCTATCCTATGACTGCTGGCTCTGCCAAGAAATGCTCCAATCCCTAGAAAGGACTACGGGGCCCTTTGCTGAGCACTTTCAGCTCTCCAGTCCCTCTGCTACAATGTGAGCTGGCCTTGCACTCCAACAGAATCAGCCTGAGGGCAGGGACTGTGTCCCCCATCCTGGCATCCTTTATGACAAGTTTTGTTGGTGGCAATAACAAGGACCCACACTTCGGACCAGGGATCAAAGCTACCACTTTCTGGTGGCACTGGGAACCTGGGGAACTCTGTCTTCTTGGATCTTCTAGGGAGTGGAGACAGCAGACACCTGAGCCTGGCTTCATTGTGCTCCCCTGTCTCTGCTCCTTTTTTTAAAAATGTTTATTTATTTATTTGGAGAGAGATTGGGAGGGGGAGCAGGAGCAAGGGAGTGAGGGAGACAGAGATTCCCAAGCAGGCTCTGCTCTGTCAGCGCAGGGCCCAACAGTAGCTGGAACTCATGAACCATGAGATCATGACCGGAGCCAAAGTCAAAGTCTGATGCTTAACCAAATGAGCCACCCAGGCCCCCCTGTCTCTGCTCCTTCTTCAGACACCATCCATATCGAGGCATTAGCAGTGGAAAGAGAGCCCTGGGCTCGAAGACAGTGGCTCAGAACCTCTTGGCTTTGAAAGTCGGCCTGTTTTAAGCTTCTGATCCACATGGCTGGTGTCAGAGCAATACTACAATAGAGGGCACACAACTCAGCAATCAAGAGCCAAGTCAAACTTTCTCAAGTTTTTCATTTATATTTTCAATTTCACATTGAAAAAAAGTAACTTTCTGGAAAACCACAAAGTGGACATAGTGTCCACAGCAATTTTTATTCACGCACTCAAACTTGCTGCTCCCTACTTCTCTTGCACACTCTGCAGAAGCTCTGTACTTACCTCCCAGAAAACTGAAACCCTGTCCACCCACTTCTGTCCTTGCCTCCTGTCTTCTGCCTTTCCTGACATCTGGAAGTTGCCAGGTCCTACGTACTAGACATTGGTGTTGCCAGGCGCTGACATTCATTGTTCTCCTGTTGCACATAATCAGTTTCACAGGCCATCGGCATCAGACAAGGCCATCTGTACCCGTGATGGATCAAGACAAAAACAGACCCATTCTGCAATCATATCTGAACACAGACAATCCATGAACATTGTCCACATTGTAACAATCACTTAGGGTGCCTGGGTGGCTCAGTCGGTTGATCCTCTGACTCTTGATCTTGGGTCATGATCTCACGGTTTGTGAGGTCCAGCCCCACACTGGGCTCTGCACTGACATCGGGGAGCCTGCTTGAGATTCTGTCTCTGCCATTCCACTGCTTGCGTGCATGCACTCTCTCAAAATAAATAAATAAACTAAAAAAAAGACCAAACATCCTTGTGTCCTAGGTAATAAGAGTGACTGCTGTTTCTTCACCAATGGCAGATTTAGTTTCACTCACCTTGTTCCTCCTGCTAGATCAGACTCATCGATAACACCCAATCGTGGAGTTACTCCTTCTTCGCAAGGGATCAAGCACTGAGAAAAGTCCTGCTTCTTTAACTCTCTCCAAAGTCGCTACCAGAAGCCCAAATCCTGTAAGTCCTTTCTAAGACCCTCTCACTGAGATACCCAGAGGTTCCCCATCACTGTAGCAATCAATACACCCAGTTTGTTCAACCACGGGTGTGTTCCTGGTGGTCTTTGACTGCAGAACATCAAGAATTCCTAGCTCTTCATTACAAAAGTTCAAAGAATCTTGGAGGAGAGGGAGGAGAAGAAACTGCCACCAAGTTTGAGTCTCCTTTAGTGGTGGTGAAGACCATGAAGAAAGAGGAGGCATGCACACATTTATGACATTTTTCGACAACATAAAGAAACAAATGCCTGTGCCCCTCAGTAATTCAGTATTTTCCCAGGCCTGGGAAAGATATTTTTTATTCTTAAGTTTATTTATTTTGAGAGAGATGGAGAGGGTGTGAGTGGGGGAGGGACAGAGAGAGAGGAGAGGGAGAATCCCAAGCAGGCTCTGTGTGGTCAGTGAGGTTAGTGTGCAGAGCCCAAGGCGAGGCTTGACATGGGGCTTGAATCCATAAAACCATGAGCTCATGACCTGGGCCGAAATCATGTAAAGAGCTTAACTGACTCTGCCACCCCGGCATCCCTGGGAGAGGTCTTTTAAAGACCCTCAGGTGACTGGGCTGAACCAGGGTTGAAGCCACAGGTCTCACCATTCAGCCAGCCCAGGACCTGATGGGTGGGAAGGTGGTGGGTCGCATTCCACGTGGCTTGGCACTTGTAATCTGAACTGTTGGAACCATACCGGAGTCGCTACCCACCCCCCAAGTCTCTGTGGTTTCTTGCTTTGATTCCTGTCCCCTGCCCCCAATGGATTTGGGTGATATGTTGTGACCATGGTATAAATACTAAAGATCATGGGGCGCCTGGGTGGCTTAGTCGGTTGAGCGTCCGACTTTCGCTTAGGTCATGATCTCGCGGTTCGTGGGTTCGAGCCCCGCGTCGGGCTCTGTGCTGACTGCCAGCTCAGAACCTGTAGCCTGCGTCGGAGTCTGTGACTCCCTCTCTCTCTGACCCTCCCCTGCTCACGCTGTCTCTCTCTCTCTTTCTTCTAGAAATAAATAAAAAACATTAAAAAAAAAATAAAGACCTTGTCCCTCCTACGAAGCACTGTGCTAGATCTCTGTTACTCGTCTTTTTGACCCTGTTATTCCTGAGAAGTAGATATCATCATACCCCCAGTTTACAACTGAGGAAACTGAGCCTTGGGGAGATTAAATACCTTGTCCTGGTCAACTAGCTCGTAAAAAGTAGAGGCAAAACCCCACGGTGGCTGGCTCCAAAGTCCATTTTCATGCGACCAGTGAAAGGAATTGCGAGATGTGGATGTCCAAGGATAGCTTTCCTATCCACGCAGGAGAATACAATTTAGACTTCAGATTGAGCAGGACCAGAGGGTAATTGGGGAAAGAAGTGAGAAGGAGCAAGACCCTAATCAGAATGTCCTTCTCTCTGTGCGTCAACAGTCTAACATGCACCTGAGCTAAGGTCCATGTATGGTTTCCACCAGCTTATTGTGAAGGGCTTATAAAAACATTTCTTTCCAGAGGTACCTTTTCAAGGCATCTTGCGACTTAATTTGGGGGCGGTGTTTATTTCTGAAAGAAAGAGAGAAAGCTCAGGGGAGGGGCAGAGAGAGAGGGAGTCACAGAATCTGAAGCAGGCTCCGGGCTCTACGCTGTCAGCACAGAGCCTGACGCAGGGCTCGAATCCAGGAACTTTGAGATCATGACCTGAGCCGAAGGCAGACGCTTAACTGAGCCACACAGGCACCTTGGATTTTTTAATTTGAAGTTATATCTTGGAGCTTATTCACCACCAGTGCCTAGCACTGTATCATTCTTTTAAATAGGTGCCTCATTATCCATTGCATGGGCATAAGTAAATTGGGTTGCCGATGGACATTTAGGCTAATCCTGTATTTTGCTCTTACTAATTTTGTAACGAAGACTCCTGGTCTTCATTTTTGCTCATATATCTTTGCTCATACTTGGTTGTAGGATAAATTCCTAAAAGATTAACTGGAAGTGGATCCTTCCACCCACCCTAACTGGCACCATACAGGTTAGAAAAGAACCGCCAACCTAGCCATTCCTGAGTTTCTGACACTCAGAATCACAGGCAAAATAATTATAAATGTAGCCATGAAGTTTTGGAGTAGTTTGTTACACAGTAAGAGATACATGTAATAAGATATGTAAATTTTCAAATATCGTTGATGTTGTTACATTTCTTCCAAAGAGGCTGTACCAATTTACATTTCTTTTTTTATTTTTTTTTTATATTTTTTTATTTATAGGAGAGAGAGAGAGAGAGACAGCGTGAGCAAGGGAGGGTCAGAGAGAGAGGGAGATACAGACTCTGAAATAGGCTCTAGGCTCTGAGCTGGCAGTCAGCACAGAGCCCGACGCGGGGCTCGAACCCACGAACTGCGAGATCATGACCTAAGCGAAAGTCGGACGCTTAACCAAGCCACCCAGGCGCCCCCAATTTACATTTCTGTCAGTGTAGGAGAATGCCTAGTTTCCTGCATCCTCACTAATAAAGAGTATTATCAAAATTTGATGCCTGAGGGGCACCTGGGTGG